CGGGGTTTGTTGCAAGGGAAGGTACCAGGGTTGGTATTAGTGTGGCATGTCCTGTGGTTGTTGGTAAGAATCATCTTGAGGTTAGGTGGTTGTCTATAGGAGACTATGGGTCTGTCTCCCAGAGCTTCTTGGAGTTTAGTATCCTGTTCCAGTATAGGCTGTAGTTTATTGATAATGTGTTGGACAGGTTTAAGTTGGGGGCTGTAGGTGATGACAAGTCGTGTTTTATTGTTGGTTTTTTTGGGTCTGTCTTGAAGTAGATGGTTTCTAGGTATTCGTCTGGCTCTTTTAATTTGCTTTTTTATTCCTCCAGGTGGGTAGTTGAGGTTTATAAATGCTTGGTAGAGATCCTGAAGTTTCTGGTCTCTGTCAGTGGGATTAGAGCAGATGGGTTGTATCGAAGGACACGGTCTCAACGACTTAATTACCTTCATCCTGCTCCAGAAGCCTTTTAAATCTGCACTTGAAAGGGAATCCTCTGAACTGTCATTCATGCTAAAATTCAACACTCTACGTGTCGGTCTCAACAAAGACACTAACTATCTTACCCATTACCAAGATAGCTTCCCCAATTATCACCTCTAATATCATTAACTCACAGACATTTACCTTCCTCCCTCCCCCGCATTCCCCTTCTGTTCTAAAATGTGATTTGTCCTTTTCATATGTGTTCACTTTTTTTTTTTAATTGTATCCTTTGTATATATGGTCATGCCTATTTTCTTCCACTATTTGATCTGAGGAAGTGGGTCTGGCCCACGAAAGCTCATCACCTAGGCTATGTCTAGACTGCAAGCCTCTTTCGAAAGATCGCGTCTAGACTGCACGCGGAACTTTCGAAAGAGCAAGCTGCTTTTTCGAAAGAAAGCACCCAGTGAGTCTGGATGCTCTCTTTCGAAGAAGCCCTATTTACATTCAAGAACGCCTTCTTTCGAAAGAAGCACTTTCGAAAGAAGGCGTTCTTCCTCGTGAAATGAGGTTTACCGCCGTCGAAAGAAAAGCCGCGTTCTTTCGATTTAATTTCAAAAGAATGCAGCTGCAGTCTAGACGCAGGTGAAGTTTTTTCGGAAAAAGGCTACTTTTCCCGAAAAAAACCCTGAGTCTGGACACAGCCCTAATGAACCATCTTGTTAGCCTTTAAAGTGCTACATAGTCCTGTTTTTTGTTTCAGCATCCTGGGCACTATGGTGGTCGACAACAGCAGATCAGCAGTGGCCAGCATGGAGAGGAAAAGGTACATGGGCTCATGGAGGCTTCGCTCTGTCAGTATGATGAATAGGAGGAGAAAGTTCCCCAAAAGCACCACAATGTACATCAGACAGAAGGGGATGACGAGCCACACTTGAGACTCTTCAGTACCAGGAAACCTGGTCAGGATGAAGATTTCAGGGGTAAAAACACTGTGATTGTCACCTGGCATCATGCACCGTCCCCTGTAGCTTCTATTCTGTGTCCAGCAACTAAGAGCAGAATAGAAAATCAGTGAGACTTGGAGGGGCAGCCAGGACTGGATTGTGTTTGGGGTCAGAATCACAGACCCCAGCAAACCTCCCTGGTGTGAGCAGCGTGTCGGGTGGGACCCTGGACCAGACTCACTCTCCTGCTATGGAACATCCCCACCCAACAGAGAAGATGGAGGAATAGCTCTGTCCCTAGGTTAAGCAAGCCCCTTTCCCCTGCTTTTGGTGTCCTGAGTATTTTCTCACTTAGAGCTCAAGGAGTGACTCTGAAAATCAGCTACAACAGCCACTCGGCTGGTCCCTCTTGCCCACCTTCTTGTGGTGCTTTTGGGGCACAATGTGTGGTATTCAAAGGTTGAGAGTTCAGATCCTACCAGAGTCACACTATTGGCCTTTCCATGCCCCTGGGCGGGGGGAGCTGCAAAGGTGGCCTTATAAACCTTATTTGGGGGTTGGACGTGATAAGCCCTGAGGTCTATTCCGCCCTAGGGTTGTGTGATCTCCCGGTATCACACACACGGCTGCGGAGTCACCCCAGGTGAAACCGGTGTGAGATTAAAACTCCTTTCACTGGGGCTTTGGCTAGACTGCATCCCTCTGTCGACAGAGGGACGCAAATCAAACACATCGAAATTGCTAATGAAGCCGAGATTTAAATATCCCGTGCCTCGTTAGCATAAACATGGACGCTGCTTTTTTTTTTTAAACTGGGCTTTTTTCGGAAAAAGAACGGCAGTCTAGACCTCCCACGTCTGTGCTGTCTTGCTCTTTTATGTCCCAATAATTGCTGTCTCAGTTTTGCACAGGTTTGGAAAAAGTGCCCCTCGTCTGTTGCATATTCTTATGTCCTATGTCTACCTCTTTGTCCCCCCTGTGTTAAACCCCATCGTTTACAGTGTGAAAATGAAGGAAATTCACAAGAGGATCTTCCGAGTATTCTCTCGGGATGGAATGTGAATGGGGAGATGTGTCAGTTATGGTGTTGTTGGGTGAGTTTTGAGTGGCTTGTTGGACGGACATTGCCTCTTCCCACACACCTGAACAACTCACATTTGTGTAGCCAGTGGCCTGGAAGAGATTCTGTTAACTCCTCTGATATCTTTCAATTATAGTCTCACGCATTTAAGGAATTCTAAGTCAATCAGTGTTTCAGGGCTGCGACTGGCTTCCAGTGGCTCTGAGTTGGGACCGACACTTCATGGCTGGGCCCTGCATGCAAGAGGGAAATAGGAAGAAGGAAAACACCTGGAAAATAGAGAACTCGCTGGTCGAGCCTCACGTCCCTTCTGCAGCACAGAGGTTTTGGTAGCTCCATGTCCTCAGTGCCTAGCATGGGGCAGGGAGTAGCACTCTCTCCATAGCCATAAATCACCAATCGCTGAGGCCTCACACTATGTCGCATCTTCTGTTTGTGCCCTGAACACAGTAGGGGCTGCAGGCATCCTTCTGCCCCACCCCACACGCTCGTTGTGTGTCTCCCCCTCCGAGGGAAGTCAGGGAACACCCATTTCTTCCCCCTTCTCTCTTCTCTTCTTCCTTTTTCTGGCAGAGGAATCATCCCAGGGGGTGACCTTTGCTTTGGAGGCCAAAGCTGAGACGGGGGCGTTGCCAAGACATTGACTTGACGTCCTCCTCCACCGCGGTGCTTTGTGGCGACCTCCAGCCCGGTGTCGGGGGTGGGTGGCAGGAGAGCTCCCCCCACCCGCCCTTCCAGCCAGTGTGTGGAGCACTGGTGGCTTCTCTCTCTGCCCTTGACCTCTCCGCCGCAGCTCCGAGGGGGTGTCTGGGCACAGCTGAGGGCGTCCGCTCAGGGCGAATTGCTCAAATTGGGGCTCCTTACAGCCCCCGGACTGGTGACCTTTCCAAACAGGCCACAAACCAGTCCCACAGAGCACTTCAGCTGCCTGCCTAAGCCTCACGAGCAAAACCCCTCTGACACCCCAGCAATATCCGTGCCCCAGATGGCCCCGGGCCTCATACACAGGTGGGGGGGTCTTAGCACCCAATCCCACCTACCCCTGAACAAGTTCTGTCCGGTCCCAAGAAACCAGCCACAGATCCCTGGTCAATTTACCCTCTGGACCTTACCCACAAATCACGCTGAGCCAATCCTTTAGAATCTAACAACTAAAGGTTTATTACCACGAGAAAGAAATGCATGAGAGTCAGGTTGTTAAAGGATAGTACATTACATGCACCGAATCTCCCAGTTCTCGATGCAGGCTCTAGCAGAGATGTTACAGCTGCTGGTTTAAAAGTCCTTGTTGCACATCCTAGGATCAGGATGGGTCCACAGTTCTTTCTGGCTCTTCGATCCCTGCAGTGCTGCCTCTGGGATGAAGTGCTGAGCTGAAGACCAAGATGGAGTCGAACACATGGCCTCTTTATCCCTCCTTCCTGGTCTCTTCTTGGCTACAGCAGGTCACCTGGCCCACTATTCCTGTGTCCCCTGCTGGTAGCCCTTAGGTATGAGTCACTCTCATTCTTTGGGTGTGTCCTTGGCCCATCGAGTGCCATTGTCCCACAGGGCCTCCCTGATTAGCATGTCCATAGGCCGGGCTCTGCCCAATGCTCAACCACATGCAGAGAAATATTCAGTATCCACACTGATTACAGATTCCTAACTACACATGCAGACATTATACACTCACATGACTAGCGTACATAGGATCAGCAGACAGTGAGCTTCTATTCAACACCCCACATGACCCCCCTTTTATACCATTTTTGGGGCAAACACCCCCACCTATGGGTGCATCAGTGATCTGGCTGCTCCCCTCAAAATCCAGTAACGTGACAGAGCCCACCCCGGGGATCACAGACGGGTCCCACAGGTGGGCTTTGGAGTTAGACTCATAGACTAATAGACTAGAGTCCCTCTCCCCCAACTTCCCACTGCCATTCACACTCCAGCTCAGATGCAGCGTGTCACAGGCGAGATGCCCACACGGTGCTCTCTCCTGGTGACCTTACCTTTGTTCTTTCTTGGTTTCTTTTTTCCTTGCAAGTTCGAACACCTTTTTCATGGTCTGGCTGCCTTGTGTGGACATGTGCAGCATTGTTGGAGCCCCATAGTTCTCAGGAGATTAGCGAGACAAGGTGAGGGAGGAAATGTATTTTATTAGAGCAACCTCGAATAGCAACAGAGAACAGGATTGAAGCCGAAACAGTGGAAGTCCATAGCTACAACACCCCTGCTCCTCACATGGAAACCTGACTTCAGCTTCCAACTGGCAAAGCATTTTCTGTTGCCTGCGTTAGCTCAGCAAGAAGTTTCTCCTACAGCTTCGATCGAACAGGTTGATCAAACTTTTCAGGATCTCTTTTGTTGTCACCCCATAAATAATGGGGTTTAGCATGGGGGGAATGAGCACGTGGCTGTTGGCCAGGAGGTTGAGAATATAACCAGGCATGACATCCCCATATTGGTGTGCGGAAGGGGAGAAAAAGGAAGGTGGGTAGAACATCAGGATGACACAGACATGGGAACTGCAGGTGCGCAGGGCCTTGAGCCGGGCACCCTTAGAGGGGAGCAGGAAGACGGCCCTGAGGATCAGCAGGTAAGACACAGCAATGAGCACAGCATCCAAGCCAAACGCTAAAACACCCACAGCGACGCCGTACCAGAGGTTGACCGTGATGTCGTCACAGGCCAGCCGGGCCACGGTTATGTATTGACAATAGGTTTGTGGCAGGAAGTTGGTTCTGCAAAACCTCAGCCGCATCACGAGAAATATGAAAGGGAAAACGAGACAGAAACTCCTTGTGAGAACCGCCAGCCCGATCTTCCCAATCACTGGCTTGGTGAGCAGGGTGGTGTATCTCAGGGGGTTGCAGATGGCAACGTACCGATCAAACGCCATGGCCAGCAGGATGCTCGACTCAGAGGTAAAACTGACATGGACGAAGAACATCTGGGTGAGGCAGGCAGCAAAAGAAATTTCCCCTGCTCTGAACCAGAACACGGCCAGCATCTTGGGCACTGTGGTGGTCGACACCAGCAGATCAGCAGCGGCCAGCATGGAGAGGAAAAGGTACATGGGCTCATGGAGGCTTCGCTCTGTCGCTATGATGTAGAGGAGCAGAGAGTTCCCCAGAAGCGCCGCAATGTACATCAGACAGAAGGGGCTGGCGAGCGAGACCTGAGACTCTTTGGTACCAGGGATGCCGGTCAGGATGAATGTAGCGGGGGGGCCAGCATGGAGAGGAAAAGGTACATGGGCTCATGGAGGCTTCGCTCTGTCGCTATGATGTAGAGGAGCAGAGAGTTCCCCAGAAGCGCCGCAATGTACATCAGACAGAAGGGGCTGGCGAGCGAGACCTGAGACTCTTTGGTACCAGGGATGCCGGTCAGGATGAATGTAGCGGGGGGAAAAACGCTGTGATTGTCGGCTGGCATCGTGCACCGTCCCCTGGAGCTTCTCTTCCGTTTCTAGGAGCTAAGAGCAAAATCGAAAATCAGTGAGACCTGGAGAGGCAGGTGGGATCAGAGTGCAACTGGGGACAGAAACAGAGACATCATCAAAGCTTCCTGGTGTGACTGCAGCCTCTTGGGTGGGACCGTGGAGCAGACACGCTCTCCTGCTACAGAACGTCTCCATTTCAGGAATGGGAAGATGATTAGGTCATGCAGGAGGCACCCTACTGGGGTTGCTGTCCTCAACACTATCTCTCCTCTTCCTCCTTGCTACTGATGCTCTCAGAGTATAAGTATGTAAGAACGGCCAGACTGGGTCAGACCAAAGGTCAATCTGGCCCAGTCCCCTGTCTTCCAACAGTGGCCAATGCCAGATTCCCAGCTGGCCGTTCCTACCCATCCTGGCTAGTAAGTATTGATGGACTTATCATCCATGAATGTCTCTAGATATTTTTTGAATCCTATTAAAGTCCTGGTCTTCACCACATCCTCCGGCAAGGAGTTCCACAGGTTCATTATATACTGCATGAAGAAAAATTTCCTTTTCTTTGATTTAAACCTGTTATTTCTTAATTTCATTTGGTGACACCCTAGTTCTTTTTATATGGAAATAAGTAAATAATTGTTCCTTAGGCACTTTTTCCATGTCAGTCATTATTTTATATTTCATAACCGTTTCCCCCCTTAGTCTCCTCTTTTCAAAGATGAAAAGTCCAAATCTTTTTAATCTCTCTCCATTTGGGACCCGTTCCAAGCCCCTAATCATTTTTGTTGCCCTGTTCAGAACCTTTTCCCATGCCAACATGTGTTTTTTGAGATGAGGCGAACGCACCTGTTCACAGTATTCAAGATGTGGGTGTCCCATGGTTTTATAGAGAGGCAATAAGATATTCTCTGTCTTATTCTCTATCCATTTTTAATGACTCCTAACATTCTATTTGCTTTTTTGACTGCCGCTGCACATTGAGTGGGTGTTTTCAGAGAACTATTCACATGACTCCAAGTTCTCTCTCTCGAATTGTTGTAGCTAAATGAGTGCCCATTATACTGTATGTATACGAACACAATGTATAGTTGGGATTATTTTTTTCAATGTGCATCACATTACATTTCATTTGCCATTTTGTTACCTAATCACTTAGTTTGGAGAGATCTTTTTGAAGCTCTTCACAGCCTGCTTTGGTCTAAACTATCTTGAGCAGTTCAGTATCGTCTGGAAATTTTTTCCAATTTGCTGTTTAGCCCTTTATTAATTAGTTATTAATTAAGTAATTCTCCAGATGATTAATAAATAAGTTGAATAGGAGTCACAGTACGATCCCTTGCGAGGCACCACTAGATACCTCTCTCCATTCTGAAAACGGACCATTTATTCCTACCCTTTTTTTCCTGTCTTTTAACCAGTTATCAATCCATGAAAGGACCTTCCCTCTTATCCCATAACAACTTACTTTACTTAAGATCCTTTCGTGAGTAACTTTGTCAAAGGCTTTCTGGAAATCTAAGAACGCTACCTCCATTGGATTCTCCTTGTCCGCTTGTTTGTTGACCCCCTCAAAGAACTCAAGTCGATTAATGAGACGTGATTTCCCTTTACCGAAATCATGTTGACTTTCCCTCAACAAATTCTGTTCATCTATGTGTCTGACAGTTTTATTCTTTTCTATAGTTTCCATTAATTTTCCCAGCCCTGGCATTAGACTCACTGCTCTGTAATTGCCAGGATCACCTCTAGAGCCCTTTTTAAATATTGGCATCACATTAGCTATCTTCCAGTCATTAGGTATGGAAGCTGATTTAAAGAGGACAAGTTACAAACCATAGTTAATAGTTCCACAATTTGAAATTCGAGTTCTTTCTGAACTTTCAAAACTCTTGAGTGAATGCCATCTGGTCCCAGTAACTGGTTACAGTTACTTTTACGAATTTGAGCCCAAACCTCATGCAATGACAGCTCGATCTGGGACAATTCCTCAGATTTAACAATGAGGAGTCCTGTGGCACCGTATAGACTAACAGGTTTATTGGAGCATAAGCTTTCGTGGGCAAAGACCCATTTCCTCTGATGCATCAGAAATGGCAGAGAGATCAATAGTGACACATTTTTAAAGTGCTTGTGCACAAACGGTTGATCTATGGTGCCTGTTTTAACCACCTTCCTCTCCTCTGCGTGGCACAGAATGGGTCCCTTGTTTTTTCCGGGGATGGAAGGGAGGCCGACGGGTCTGTAGCTCTGTGGTTTCTTCTATCCTTTTTAAAACTTGGACACAATATTTGCTTTTGTGCAGCCTCCCCAAGCACTAGGAGTTCTCAAATATAGTAGCCAAAGACTCTGCAATTACCTCAGCCACCTCCCCCAACCCCTCAAAGGCATCAGATCTGACCCCAGGGACGTGGGCCTGCCTAGCTTTTCTAAACAGTCCTGAACGGGTTCGCTCTCCGCTGAGGGCTGCCCGCCATCCGGAAGCTTCCCTGGTTTGGGAAGCACCTTCATTAACGCCACAAAGCTCAGCTGCGTGAGGCAGCACGTGCAGCCCAGCCGCCCCCGGCACCGGCTACAGAGAGATGGCCCGTCAGGTGATGGCATGTCAGGCTCACCCCACCCTTTTCATCGGTGACACCTGGGCTCCACGGTGGGACAGTCCCAGGTCTGCCCCTTTGCCAGTTAATTCCTGCACCCGCACTGGGCCCAGCCCTGAGCCCCAGTGACTGAAGGGCCTTGTCCCTGTGTGAAGACGCGGGAGGGGGTGAGGGGATGGCAGGGCCAGAGGGGATCCCAAAGGAGGTTCCCTCTGACCAGCCCCATTAGCCGAGAATGGCCCAGACCAGCGCCGCTAAGCCCCACAGCCAGCACCCCCCTGACTCCTGTGGGCGAGGGTCAGTGTCACCCGCACCCGCGGCCTGACACTGCCCCTCTGCGCTGGGCCAGGGGCGTTTGCTCAGGGCCGGGGGCTGCCGTGCTGTCCTGCAGTGCGAGGGAGGCAGCCCCGTTCCAGCCAACCCCCCTTCCCACATTTCCTAGGGGCCAGGGGTTTCCAGCTACCCCGGGGCAGATCCCTGCCCTGCCCAGGACTCACCAGGCTCCTGCCCCAGCCGGGATGAGCGATCGCTGCCTGGACACAGGGCGCTGCAGGGCTGGGGAAGCCGCACTGCGCAGTGCGGAGGGACAGGGGTGTTTATACAGCAGCCCTGGGAATCCCAGCGGGGGCTCGGAGCCAGCAGGGAGCCCCCGGGACCTGGCCTCTGAGACTGACTCAGGTGGGAAACAGCAACTGAGAATTAACCCTTTCCCCTCCCTGGCTGTGTCTGAGCCTGGCTCCTGTTGTACATTGTTCAGAAAGGTTGTGGTGTTGCTGAGGCCCCCAGCAAAGGCTGCCCTGTTCTTTGACACCAGCGGCCAGCTCACACCTGACACACTCACCACACCACACTTATGGAAAATGTGCATGTAACATGTGCGTGTGGCATGTAAGTTGTGGGCAGACAGCTTGTACCTGGCCAAGCCTCATGCACAAGCCACAGTTACGCCAGAAGGTCCCACCTGTGACCCTGTGATTTATGGACGGGGAGTAGCAGTTAGTCACCAGGGCACAGTGTGGAGGTGACGGCCCTTCCAGGAGGTGTTGTCAACCCACCATGGCTGGCAGGGGAAGTAACTCCCGCCTCTGTGGTCCAGCCCGGCTCCTTCACAACATGGATGGTGGAAACCCCTCAGACAACTGGAACCAATCGACCACGCTTGGAAGTAGATGCAGGCACTTGACCACCGAGGGGATTGTCCTGCCCACAGACAGGGGCAAAAGTTTGCTTCAGTAAAACACAATTTCTTGCAATGTCTTTCAGGTCCTGTACTATCCCAGCCCCCTCCCGCAGGGCAGAGGACCCGTAAGAAACGTCCGTGTGCGATTGAGGGCTGGAGGGGTTCGGGGCAGACGGTTGGGTGTGTGGAGGGTGCAGACGGGGCAGATGAGGATTTTGCAGGGTCCAGAGCAGCACAATTTCACGGGCTCCCCCTTTGACACGGTGCATGCGCGGGGCTTCTTGAAGTGCGGAGCTCGGGGCGGCCGCCCCGCTCGCCCTGCCCTGTATCCGCCCCGGGGTGCAGACATGATGGCAGGGTGCTGAGGGTGCAGGGGGGTGCGGGAGTCAGGGTTGGAGAATATGAGGGGCTCAGGGCAGGGGGTTCAGATATGTGGGGGGCAGGGTTCAGGGCAGGGGGCTGGGGATATTGGGGTGTAGGATTCAGAGTCGGGATGTTGGAGGGACTTGGGGCAGAGGGCTGGATGTATGAGGGGCTCAAGCCAGGAGGTGCAGGAGGCAGGGGGTTGGGATGTGGGGGAGAAGCATGTGGGGGGGTGTGACGGACCGGCCCAAACCGGGCCACTGCAGCCAATTCCACCTCCCCTCCTGCCCCCACCGTGCCCAGGGCCCCCACCGTGCCCAGGGGCCTGCCACAAACCCCCCCACAGCAGATGGGCAGCAGACCTTGGGGCCTACACAGGGCCAGGGCTGGAGCCAGGCTGCTGTAACCACGGCCGGACAGGAGCCAGTTCCATGCACTGCCCCCCAGCAGGAGGAAGGCTGGGGTCTGGCCACCAGGGCAGGAATGGGGCCATGGCCAGATGGGGGCCAGACCACAGGGCCTGCCCCATGCTCGGGGCCAGGGCTGGGATGCCACAGCCGCAGCCACAGCCTGGCAGGACAGGACCGATTCCCAGCAGGAGCAGGACTGGGCACCCTGGCCAACGGAAGCTGCCGCCAGCCCCTCCCAGTAGCCCAGCTGGGAGCCTGCACATATCCCCTACAGTGCACCCCAGCCGGCCCCTTACACTTCCTGCCTGCCACCGAGCGGCGCGCCCAGCCTGCTCTTCCCACAGCTGCACTGCGGGGCGCACGGCTCACCGACACCTCTGGAGACGCCTGGGAAGCCGGGAGGTTGCCATAAAGCCCGTATCCCGGTTCTTGTGCGTGTGGCCAGCTCAGGCCGGGCCAGGGGCTGGGAGGGAGGGACCGACTTTATGAGCTTGGATCGGAAGCCAGTGACACGAATTCTCATTCCACGATTTTGGGTTTCAACCGTTTGGCCCCCCCACTCCCTTGTTTCTAGGGAACGCTCCGTTCTGCTCCCATCATCCAATGTGGGTGTCATTCCCAGCTCTCCACAGCGCCACGGGCAGCACCGGGGAGGGGACTGGCACCCTCCTGGGAAAGTGGGGCACGCTGCTCGTTGTGGGGCAGGGACCTGGCCCTGTGAGAAGCCAGTGCCGGGGGCAGGATTGCTCAGGACACCGAGTCACGGGGGCTGAGAGACTGGGGTGCCCCGGTGTTTCCATGCCAGGCGAAGACAGAGGTCTGGTAGCTCAGAGGGGAGGAACCCGGCACAGAATAAGGGGGTAGCTATGGTAACTGGTTTCACTCTCCCACACAAAGAAATCAGGCAGGGAACCTACATCCGATTCAAATTTCAACCCTCCCTCTCCCTTGGTTCTCCCGGTCCCCTGGCCATCACCTTTGCTGGCTATCTGAGATTAACCCCTTAGTCACTGGGTGCTGTTCAGCACGTCTCCGGGCCATTACAACAGGGTTCAAAAAAGAGCTAGATCAGTGTTTCTTAAACTTTTTAAGACCGAGGAACACCAAGCCATATTTTTTTTATGAGGAACACCAAGGGGGGGGGGAGAGTTGGCGGAAAGTTATTGAGTTAAAAAACAAAGTTTTCCTGCCTCTTTACGGGCGGCCATTTTTAACTCTGTTGTTCCCTGCGGCACACCTGCGACTGCCTGGCGGCACACCACTGTGCTGTGTTGCACAGTATAAGACCCACTGAGCTAGATAGATGCATGGCGGTTCAGTCCGTCAATGGCTGTTAGCCAGGATGGCAGGGAGGGGTCCCTAGCCTCTGTGTGTCAGACGCTGGGAATGGGCGACAGGGAGGGATCACTGGCTGGTTCCCTGTTTCTGTTCCCTCCCTCGGGGCACCTGGCATTGGCCACTGTGGGCAGACGCAGGACGGGCCTTTGCTCTGAGCCAGTCTGGCCGCTCCGATGGTCTCTGCTCCCTGCAGGCCCTGCCCTGCGCTGCTTCTATCTCTCCTCTGGGGGCGGCTGTAGCGTCTGTCGCTGCGGGGAGTGGAAGGAGCGGAGTGG